TGTAAGAGTGAGCACATAGACGATTAACAGCAAAACCAGATGAAGAGAGGAAAGAAGGAAATGACTTGATCACAGGAGAGATTGGGAGTTAGTGTGTGGGAATGGCAGACGAGGATTCTTTAGCAAGGTGCTGAAATGGAATGTTTCTTTGAATTATTTCTATTTCAGGCTTAACAGGCACTTTTCCGAGGCTAACTGGAATTATCTTTTAGGTTTTTGTCTTTCATTTTTATCTCTCTGCCACTGTCCCTGATTGTATTTTCCTCCTCCTTAATGTGAAGAAACTGAGAAATTGGGGAAATGTGGGTTGGGGATTTTTCTGGAAAATTCTGGCTTTTGTCAGAAGAAGATTGGAAATACCACCTGCAGTTTATCTTTTGGGCATATATATGTAAAAGCAGTCTTCCAGTCCTAGAGAATTAGAAAATCACTAGATTTCTGAAAATGCAGCACTAACTGCATCAACTACATAAGAAACTTAAAAACTATGAATGCTGTGTTCTCCTGACTTCTCTGTGTAAAATCTGTACCATTACTGCTGAAAGACATTAGTGAACAAAGATAGACATTTCTTCCTCATTTCAGGGAGCAGATTTTAGGAGTCCTAAATGGGCAACAAAGTATATATTTTTAAAATCTGCTTTGTTAGTGTTGCTAATATTGTATTCTGGTTTTTACTGTTATAGATGAGGAGAGTACTTGTGAGATTTTCATGGCGGTGAATAGGGACCTGAGAACATTTTCCTGCATTTTTCAGCAGTGCAGTGGTAAAGCTAATGCTAACATGCTCGTAATGATTCCAAGTTATGCAACTTTTCCCAAGCTTTTCTAGGCAAAGAGTATTCTGAAGTAATTTGCCATGCACTTCTTCTAAGGGTGCCCTGGGACTGTGCAGCTTGCCCAAGGCTATACAGTCAGGGTCTTCTGGAAGGCACGGTGGGGAACTGGACTCCCAAATTCTGGCTCCACAGGCAGATACCTAATTCACTGAGCTATTCAGCCAGCTGCTAAGGTGCTAGGAAATCCTCAAAATGGCAATGAGGTTAAGCCTCTCAGTAAGACCATGAGCCTACCCTGACTGCTCTTCAGTAGTGATGATCAGCAAATGCAACCTTGTATTTGTTCTGATGGTAGTCAGACACTATCAGAACATAGAGTCGAAATGCATTTCCAGTTTATTCGTCTGATGAAATTACTGTGTAGACAAGACCTATTCCAAATACAGTAAGCCATTCATAATTTTCTTGCTTATGCTGGTGTACAGCAATCTTGTTGATTGATGTAAGATTGGCGCCCTGACCCTAACAGTGCCACATTGCTCTAAGAGTTCTTGGCAGCTTATCATGATGGGATTCAGAGGTTGTTGTCCCCTGCACTCCCCATGGGCAAAGGCACTTTCTCAGGCATGCCAGCCTCAGACCTTGCAGGGCTTTGTAGATCAATATAAAATTATTCTTGAATGAAAGGGCCAGTACTGCCCTTGGTGCTGTTAAATCTTAGATTGATTCATAGGGAAATGAGGTTCGAGCTGATAGTGCTGCCACAGATCATAAAGAATACTTTGGAAAAGAAATCTGTCACATGAAAATCTTATTCCAAGTGCCAATATCTCAACATTGCACTAAAGGCCAGTACATAACAGAAATAGATGAAAGACTTGCATTGTTTTAATTCTGTACATGCAATTGGTTTTCTTGAGCTGCCTGGAAAATTTATACAAGGCTTTTGGGTTATAGCTGAGCCATTTCAGATATAGATTATGGAAGGCAGTCTGCAAATCAGGCCTGATTATGTACATGCTAACAAAAAAGTGTGTGTGTGGGGAGATTAAAAAAAAATAAAGAAGGATGCCCCCCCATAGATTCTTTTAACAGATCAACACTCCACAAAGATATACTTAGCATACTGTGGGTAGGTTTCTGTTACTGTTTGTGTGAACTTCTGAAGGGCCCTAAGGTGTGTCAATCTTCTAAAGCTTTCCAAGAGGTTTAAGTGAAATGCTTTAAGCAATACGCTTCTCTACTTCTAAGGGAAAGCTGAGAGATCCCATCTCAGATTCAAGACTTCTGTCCTGCCATTCAGATTGCTGTGGGTGTGCTGCCTTTAATTCTGCTTCTGCTTCCTTTTCATATTTGTTATTTTCAGACAAAAATAATGTTCATAAAAGAGAATGTTGTACTGACAGGATAGCTTAAAGACTAGAATTCATATCTGACATGGAAAAATCACTACTAGTAGAAAGATCTCCTTGGAGGGAGAGTAAGGGTGCAACTACACAGTGGGGGAAATATACTTGTATCTGCTGTGTGATCCACAGTTTTTCAGACTAGTTCTCTGCTGGTTTACATGAGTGGAATTGCTATAGATATCCAGATGACTACAAGTTTTGTTTTTACTCTAACCACTGGCATCTTTTATCTGACGAAGTGCTAACTGGCAATTTGCCTCTTTTAAAAAAATATTTAAAGTGGCTTAGTGCTAATTCCTTTCAATGTTGATTTTAAAGCCTTAAAAAAAACTGGAGACAACAGGCACGCATCCTGCAAACACTGCTTTGTATTGATTGAATGAGGAAACCATACAAGGCAGGCTGCAGAGAAAAGTTAGAAATTAAATTACACTAAATTAAATTAAAGTTAAAATAAAATCATCCCTGCCAGCTGATCTAAAAAAGATGATTCTCCATCAAAAAGAGACAATTCTCCACTAGGTGTCTGCATTCTTAGTTTTGTGCCGTGTAATCCCTGGGTTTAAGTTTGATTTTGTCCATGCTAGTTCCAGTGCAAACTGTGGTGCAAATGACCAATGTAGATGCCCTCTAATGAAGCAATATTACTCTAAGGAAGCAATCTTAGGATGCAGTGGGGATGGTGAGATAGGTAGATCAGAATCCACGTATATGTCTCTGAATAGTCTGCAATAGGCTGGCAAGGATTTCTGATTCTGATTTACCTAATTAAAAGCAGCAAGGAAGTGACTGTCCTCCCACTCAAAAATTATGATGCTGAAAAGAAAATAATCTTTTATCTGGAAGGATTGTGAGTGCTGTGCAGTTCTGGTTTTCATGAGAAGTTCCTTTGATTGAAAGCATCTTTCTTTTGTTCCAGGAAAACTGCACCTTTGAAAGTGTATCACTATAGTAAAACATAAAGTAGATTCCAAAAAACCACATTGACTGCTAGACTGTGTGAGTAAACAGAAGCCAAGGCACAATGATGGAATGCCAGAAATGTTTCTGACATGGCAGATAAAGCAGTGGAACACCTCAGATGTGATGGTGGACTACGGAGACAAACACAGAGACGGTACCTAGTTAAGCAAATTTCTGGTGCTGGCCCCCAGAATGGTTCAACACAATTTGAAGTTAATGCCTCCTCCTTCAGGAGCTAGAAAGCATGTACAGCACTCTGGGTTTCTTAATGCAGTTGTAAAATTCTTCCATCCACCTCCCTCTGCATCTGTCATTTGCCTGGAGTCCTAGTCTCTAAGAGTTGCAACCTGAGAGTGATACTGAACAGGACACCAGGTCTGAGGGGCAGCCATGTGAGTCATGCCTGCCCCTTGCATCTCTAAAGAACAAAAGCAAGATGTCTCCTTCTTGGAGGCACAAGGGAAAGGCATGACAGGGAAGGCAGTGACATTAACAACCCTAAGAAAAGCAATCTAAGATTGAAAAAGAGTCCACGCAGGCTCAATCCGGAAAAGGACAGTCTAGGAAACATGTGGTGGTCTTCTCTCTCTCTCTCTCTCCTCTTCCCTATGCAAATACATGCACCCAGTCACTTCCAACAGGTACACCAATTCAATCAAACTCAAGCACGGTCAAGAAGAAAAAAATCCACAAAGATTTCTAAAGAAATGTTTATGACTTATGGAAACAGTGAGAAGGTACTTAACCCCTAGGAACAGGAGAGACCAATTTATATCAGGCCAGAGTAGCTGCCTAATCTAGTTAGTGGCTGTCAGTCTTTGGTCCATAGGATTTGGATTTTGGCTTCCAGAATCCTTGATGACTGGCCAAAAAGTTGAAGACTACTGGCCAGCAGTCTCTAGTCGCCTAGAGTCTCTCTAGAGTCTAGAGTCTCTAGTCACTAGTTGTCTCCAAAGACTAGTTGTCCTCTCCTCTTTGCCAGAGGCTGGCCAGGGTCTGAGGGAGAGTTATTCCACAATATCAGCTACCTGATCCTTTTAACTAGATGAACCAGAGACTATCCTGTTTCCCTGAAAATAAGACCTAACCTGAAAATAAGCCCTAGTATGATTTTTCAGGATGCTTATAATATAAGCCCTACCCTAAAAATAAGCCCCAGTTAAGTGAAATCCCGCTTTCCACCATTGTGTAGCATTGTGCACCAACGAGAAGGATATGACATGACTGTATTTCAATAAATGTAGATTGTTGTACATGAAAAAAAAATAAAACATCCCCTGAAAATAAGCCCTGATGCTTTTTTTGGAGTAAAAATTAATATAAGACCCTGTCTTATTTTGGGGGAAACACGGTAGATCTGGGCAATTCTCATGTTTTTCCTGAAACAGTGTGTCCAGGTATGGGCTCTGCTACCGAGCTGTGGTGAGATATGGCATGCTGTAGGGCTGCTGCTGTTATGCCTCTTAAGTTTGAAGCAACACTTAATGGAGATGATGCCTAGAAGATAAGAAACTGAAACTTAAAGGAACACCTTTTCTTATGACAGAGAATTGAACTAAATTATTCTGAGGCTGCCAGTGATCTCAATTGTCTCCTTCAAAATCTTGCACCTTCTTTCCATACTAAAATCAGCTCTTAATGGTTTCCATTCTCTTTCCAGCCTTGAAGTCACAGAGCTCATCAGCAAAAGCTCTTCAACTTGCAATTTCTAATTTACTCTAGCATTTATCCTTGAATGCTTGGATCAGCAATCTTGGGATTTGGAAACAACACAGTGAGAAAAGTGGCGATTTGCACTGCCACTTGCCTCAGAATGTGTAACCCTGAATGTGTCTTGCTCTGCTTGCAGGTGGTTGCTATTGATGTTGATATGGCTTTTTTTGAACCTAAAATGAGAGACATCCTGGAACAGAACTGCACCAGAGATCAGGACTGTAATTTTTTTGATTGCTTTTCACAATGTGACCTCAGGAGCAGAAGATGTGGTGCAGAAAGAGCCAATAATAACCTTCAAGTAAGTGGTTATGGGCTTATTTGTCTATTACTGGATGCAAGCAGTGCTCAAGTAGTCAATTTGGAAGTTGCAGGCATTCATCATTACAATCCCCACAGCCACTTCTCCTTCCACCTAAAGAGAATCTAAAATGCAAGCAGCTGGATTAGTCCATATAAAATAAAATGAGGAAATGCCTTTTGTAAAGCTAATAGTTCTTAATTACCCATTAAAGACCAAACCACTTTATTATACCCCAGATAATTTACAACAATATACTGTTTCTGGGAAAACCCATTGCTGTTCTGGCTATGAGGACTACACTTAACTTCAAAAGAAAGAGGGAAGTGGGTGATAGTGGCAGATGTTATACTAATCCCTACTATTCAGAAAAGCTCAGGGCTTCATAAAATTGACCTTTTAAACTACTCCACTACACCACTGGATCTGTCCCTCTATTTTAAAATACCAATACTGTGAGCGAATAAATTATCCTTTTTATAGTTCCTAATAGGGATGTGCTCTTCCATGTTCTTCAACTTTAATTCCTAGAATTCTCCTAGAACACCAAGAATTGTAGCCCGTGAACCCAAATCATTATATATGTAGGTTTCACACACACCCCAGAGGGGTTTTTAGTTTATTTGCCTACACCAGTGGCTTCTTCGGCCTTTTTTTCCTGTTGTTGATTTATAAAAAAAGAAAGGGGCCTTGGCGGTTCTTGGAATTAGTAGTTCTTTTGGAGGCAACCTCTGTAGAGCCTTATGGACAACAGGACTATGGCTCTATAGGAAAAATATAAAGGTGTGTTGAGTTGGGTTTGTGGGTTGCAATTATTTGGATTCTTGGAGAATTCCTAAAATTGCCATTCAGAAACATGAAGGAATACACTCCTGATCACCAAGACCTTTTTCATACATGTGTGTACATTACTTGATGACTGTAGCTTCAAGTGACAGCTTTCTTGAATGAAAAACAGGCAGAATGTCATGCCATGTCACATAATCCTAAGCAAAATGTTTGTCTCCAAAGAAGAGTAACACTTAAAGGGACATTTTAGAAGTTGACTGCAATCTATGCACAACATAAAACGTGTTACAGGTTTTTAAATGCCACGGTGTTGGTTTTGCTGTAGGTGTTAACATAGTTTCCACCTTAGAAAGTTAAAGGGAGGGAGTTCCATAGAAATACATGGCAGTGGGCATATTCCAAAATGTCTCCTCCTGCCTGGTGAGCATTGTCCTTTGCTGTGACATCTATCTAGTACTGCTCATCCCAACAATCCAGGATCTGTTGTCTTGTACATTCCCCTAGTTGTTCCCACGCTAAGCAGTGTTGTTGAAGAGGGTGGGAAATCCAATGATATGATGCGTCACTAAGCAAAAGTCCATGTAGGCCAAAACTGTGAACCTTTCAAGTGTACCCATGTTGCAGGACTATAATGCCCATCAGTTCTCACCACTGGTAATACTGACAAGGGCTAATGGCAGTTGCAGTCCAGCAACATCTAAATTGCCAGAGGTTGCCCAGTCTTGGCCAAGTTATTACGGTAAGGGGAGAGGAGAGAATAGCAATTTGTTTCTTATTTATTTAGACCTAGATTCAATTTTTGTTCTATCAGAGCACAGCTGGTGAATCAATGGGGACTTGGTAATTCAAAACATATGTAATTTCCCTTGTTGAGTATCTTCCTGTTAGGAGCAACTGTTGGATTTAGGTCTTATTTATTACACCACTCAGTGAACACTCAAATTCTCAAACTAATTATTACACTTTTAAGTCACTCAAGCCATTCAAATTCTCTTGATGTGGGGATGATGTTTTAGTGGCTCTCTTGTGGCAGATGTAACATGTAGCCCGTTCTCATTTGTGAAGCAAGTACTAAGTCAAGGGTTATGAGAACAAATGAAGCAGTACAAGGAAACAGGCTTCTATCTGCAGTACAAGGAAATGTTCATACCTATATATCTGTAATACAAATATGTCTGATGTCCTTTTCTCACACTACATAGAGTCAAAACATACTCCTGTGTGTGTGATTGCAGTATTTTTCTTCTCCACAGGTATGTAAGAGAGGTGCTTGGAGAAGATGGTGGTCGTATCATCCTAGGTTAAAAATTAAAATGTATAGTGGAGAGATTAGTCAGTAGCCATTAGAACTAAATTGAGGACTTTTGTAAAAAGACATTTGCCTTCTTCCAGAATACATCATGATACGTAGGAATGTATAGGAGGTCTCAGTTCATTCAGATGGGTCAAATCAATCTGCTTCCACAAAGGAATTAATAACCAGCTTTAGCCACTGAAATATGATTCTGAATTTTTGGTGTGCAGTCATTAGTTTGTTAGGGCTTCTGCTTCTGGAAGAGATATTTGGATAACAGCAAATGTTTCTAGAGGTATTCTTGCATCATGTGGACTGGTCAGTGCTAAGTGGACCACTGGTCTGCCCTAACAAGGCATTTAATGCTCTTGCTCTCTTCTTTTGCAAATAAGAGGACATTTTTAATGGGTACTTTCCTTTGCTATTGATTTAATTGTCCAGCTCCTTCAACCTGGTCTCCTCCAGATATTTAGGACTTTAACTCCCATCATTCCTTGTTTGCAGGTACATTGACTGAGTTGGAGCCCCCCACACATGATGGAGGACACAAAATTGGGAGATAGCTAAGCTTGCTTGCATAAATTTCCTCTGTCTGAAAAAGTCTGAAGCCCAACCTTATATAAATTACTTTGGGCAAAGATCTTACTTCATTTGCATATCACTGCTTCTGAATGTCAGATGTTTTCGTTCTTCTTCTCTGCAGGTTATCTGTGATAAAATATTTCGCCCATGGTTCTCTCTGAATCTCAGAGGATCTGAGATCTCATTTCCACTGCAGCTACAGTTACAAAAAGCAGTACGTGAATGTGCACAACCAAGGACCAATGATGTGATCTACCAACACAATTTCCCAGATTCTCTATCAAAGCTATACCACTTGCTTCGAGCAAGCCAAAAGGAACTTCAGAAATCTGGCAGCTACCTTCATCAAGTTCAGCTGTAATCTTCATTTTTTGGTTCCATTCATTTGAATTAATTTCTGCTTATTGGCTTTTTACTGTGCTTTTGAAAACTGTAATTGAATATGAAATGTGTTTTTATTAATACTCTCTGAAATGTAAAATGGTTTCCGTGAAAGCTGTTTTTGCGTTACTCCTGTTTCCCTGCTGATATTTTGAATTATATAGATTTTTCAAAAGACAGGAGTACCTGATTAAACTAATGCCTGACCTAAGGACGGAAAAACATGTTAATTTCAAATCTGCTTTGGAGACTGGAAGAAAGAGAGCTGCTTAGCAGGATTAATTCTAGTTGTATTTTATTTTATATTTGAAAATGGGGTTGTGGGCAAGTTGATCAACTTATACATGTTTTATCAATATAGTGGCCAGAATCCTTAAAAATAGTGTGCACAATTGCAATTGTGTAAGGAGTTGCACCTTCTAATGAGAAGTCTGTCAGGTGGCCAGTTGTGATGGAGCTGGTTGTGCAAACAGTTGAACATTGGACACCCTGCCAGACGGTAGAAACTTCTTGTGTGATTACTGTTCACACACATTTTTTTCCTCAGAGTTCTGGTCAGTAATTAAGATCTTCAATAACAAGAACATTAACGGCTGTTTGAGTGAAGCACTCTTTTAAAACAAATATGGTTATGGTGCTTTGTCCTAGCAACCATCATTTTGGTCAAAATATTGACACACTATCTGTGTGGTTATGAATACTATTAAACTGAGGAGAACATGAACCAAGGCTGACATTGTTGTCCTGAAACAAGAATTGTGCTGGCTGAGGGGATTCTATGAATTTTAGTACTGAAAAAAGATTTGTTTTCAAGTGTGCATGCTCCTGGCCTTATCAATTGTAGGATCGGGGTTGAAAACGTCACCAGTAAGCATTTCCATAAGCCCCAGCCTGCTGTTGTGAACAGGCACAGGATATATTGCTTGCTGACTTGGAGATACAGAGGTAGAAGTTAAGTCACTTTCCTCCACTGAGTACTCCAACTGAGGAGCTCAGTTCTCAGCACTAGCATTTCTGGCACAGTTTCTCCCTCCTGTCCCCTAGTTAAGTCTTCTACTTTCTCCCTCCTGTCCCCTAGTTAAGTCTTTTACTGGAAAAAGGGGGAGAGGCCTGGCTCACAAGTCGAAGCAAGTGGTGGAGTGCTCCAGTATTCTGCTTGGTTCCTCTCAGGGAGGGTTGCTAAAGGTGACTGAGTGTTATGTGGTGGCACCCTCT